ACTCACATGATGCTTAATAAATTTCTTCAGTACTTTTTATGACACAAATTCTTTTTTGTAAACAAAATCAATTTTTCAGGGTTTAGGTGAATATGTGAATTTACGGACTGGTATGCCTTGTCATCTACATCCAACTAGTGCTCTATATGGAATGGGTTACACTCCAGACTATGTTATTTATCATGAATTAATTATGACAACAAAAGAATATATGCAATGTGTTACGTCTGTCGATGGTAATTGGCTAGCTAAAGTTGGTCCTATGTTTTACAGGTAAATTAAATTGACATTTCCTAATGTTTTTGTTTTCCGATCAGTATGTGGATAAAATTGTATTTGTAGCATGAGAAGTTTGTGGAGATTGTTGAGCTTCATAGTTTACAACATAGATTGACCTTAGTCAGATAGCCTTTAAAAACCATAACTCACTGAACAATTGTTTCGTCTTGCTAAGGGTTCCTTCAGCAGGATATACTTACGACCCCACCTGGAATCGAAATAGCTTTCTAGTGCTTCCTGCTCTTCAAGCGTTATCTAACTAAGGCAAACCCCTATTGGATGCTATAAATTCATATTTCATTGTGTGCATTGTAAAGTGATTCGATGGTTATCAGTATAAGAATAGAAGTAGGAGTGTCAAGGTGATATGAATACAGTTATTACGCCATGTAGAATATATTGTAATAAAACTATTCTTCGTTGCAAAACTGATAACGTTATTGGCTTTTCTGACCTTTAGTAATCCACACTATTAAATGCTTTCGAATGCGAATTAGTGGCCTCGATGGATGACCTGCATAGCTAGCTTCGCAGGCGCAGTTGAACTGATAGCGTAAAATGACACGGCTCCCCTTTTATATGCGCCTTTATATGTAAGATGAGTTGCGAAGATTGACAAATTCAATGTGCATACACTAGTTATCTTGTTCTAACTCAGCTAGGTATGTTGGTCTTTCCTCGAGACCACTTCGCATTCGGGAGTACCTACCAGCGTGACATAAGTACAAGTTAAATTAAGCCATTTAAATCATTGATTCTGCAAAGAGGAGTGGACACGACATCCGGATTCCGACGTATCCTTTAATATCATTTACAAAACTGGTTCTCTTTTGATCTCATTTAGTGGTTTAGTCGTAAAAAAGTTTTAATTTAATGAACAATATTCCCTACATAACAAGGGTGACCTTCTTTGTCGTTCCCTACCCTTAGTTTCCCATTCTCTGTTAGAGCTTTACTTTGTGGTTACAATGAAAATAATACCTTGTATAATTAGTATGGTTTCATATTATAGTTGATCTAATGTTTATGCACACCCTTATTTCTAATAGGGTTACAACACAATCCCAGTTCAACTACTATTCAGTTAGTCTTATTCACCTGGTACAATTTATTGCTAATGTTATGCTATGTGTAACACATTCACTCAATACTTTTTTCACTTATTTTTCAGTGTTAAAGATCCTAACCTTACTCGGTTGGAACGAAAGCGACAAGCTGAAGAACAACTCGTAGAAATGGAAAATGAAATGCGTCTGGCTGAAGAACAGCTTTCTCGTCGACGTGAAGAACTTTCAGCATCTATTGGTTCAAGTCGTTTGTAAGTAAACCATCTGTTCATTGTTGTTTAGGATAATCTTGTTTCAATATTTATTTTTTTCCAGTTATCCTAAATAGTCACTCTGCATTTAATCGACTAAAGAGTAGTGACCAATGTTATCTGGTTGGATTTTATCGGCCAACTTGTAATGCAGCTACTAGTTTGACTGACTCGACTACGGGTGTACTATTTTTTAAAAAGCTAAATGGTTGAACGTAGTTGACGGGAAACCTTGAACGTAGGTCTTGTACTTATTGGGATTCGTCCTCATTAAGAAATACGTGCAATCTTGTGGGATTTAATGCTCCATGTGAACTTAGAAACCACGTCACTCAGCTTTACAGATTGAGATGTTGCCACTAAGGTAATCGCCCCTCAGCTGACCGCTTGTAGGACTCAGATATTTACAATTGATTGGTCACTAAATGGTGACCAATATTACCTTTGTCTAGTCCTTTGGTGCTGATTATCTACCGTCAACCTACCTACCATTTCAATGTCATCACTGTGTATTATTAAACACTGGGAAGTCGTAGCTGTATATACTCATTGATGAGTATTGGTGTAATAAAAAGCGTATGATAATTTTAACACCTAAAATCTAAGGATAGATAAATAGTGAATACATCTGCGTCATTGCGACTGATTGTAAGCTATTCCACACGATGTTTTCAGTCATTAGTTACGATAATCGAGCGAACTCTTACAAGGTAATCTTTATCCAACTACACGGCTCAGTTCAACAGTTAACAACTTCATGTAGTAATGCTACGATTTGGTTTGGCTGCTTTACAACTTTTTTTCCTAACTTGATTCTACACCAGCAACTACCTCTCGCTGAAGTATTTTTTGCTTATCCTCTCCTTCCCTTCCCATGCCTTCAAAAGTGTTATTTTACCTTGTATCAAAAACCTTTTGTTGTCTCTATTGTATATGAGTTTCATATGGTTTTTCTAAAGGAAAAAACTTAAAATATTTTCCTCCACTTTCTTTTTATCTCTCTTTTCTACAGGCGACCAATAATTACACCTGGTATGCGCACTCCTGGTACTCCTTTGGTGTCTAAACGTCCTGGCAGTAGACTTGGTTTATAATCATATCTGTTGTACGATTATTAATTAATGTACATAATTTATTTTTGTAAAATATTTTCAAATATAAATTCATCTTTCAAATATATTTATCTTACCACAATTTGTCTTCTTATTCTATTATTAATATTATTATTATTGATTACAATAATCTATATATGGTACTTACATGTATAGTTAATCTGATTGTTTCGTAGTTACACCTAAATGGATTATTTCTGTAAGAGTAATCCTTCATCAAATAATTCTGTCATTTGATCTTATACAACTTTGATATTATACATACCTTGCGATGTTTGCTAAGTACAGGGTTATTGTGGAGATTGTAATAATTTCAATAGTTGAGATCAATTGAATCTAGACCACTATGGAAAGCCTGGAAGCACTGGACAAGCATATACTTTATGATGTTAATCATTTCATTTCATACTTCTCAACTAGGAAATCAAATTAACAAGAGAGATATGGTTTGTTTAAAACTAGAAATATAGATCTATTAACAGCAAAGAGAAACTAGTTCAACCCTTAATATCAAAATGATGTTATATTTTGTAATATCCCAATGAGTAGAAAGATGAATTTTTGATATTTCATGACCTAGTGTAAGTAGTAAAACTACTCATTAGGATATCATAACTATATCATCATTTTACTGTGAACATTCTATTCACTGTAGAGTTCATTTGAAATTGCCAGGTTTAGTAATAATGTCTAAAGTCTTAAAGGTAGACAAACAACTGTTTCTCAACACTTTTAGATTTCTGAAGTTCTGTAAATCTGTGGAACGATTTTGTTTTTGCTGGTATTATATTCTCTAGGTTAGTTTGTTTAGTTGGGGAGCGTTCAGTATTTTCTTGAACAACATCATTAGCGCTTTCATGAAATAGCCCCTGATGATGAACATAAAACTACAAAAAACAATCACCTGAGCTGTATATCTTCTCTATCATTGCTCTTCATTTATATTTAGCGTTGTTTTGTTGGTTGTATGCACAATTGTTCTATACAATGTTCTAATAAGCATATGAAATAAGTTTTTGAAGATAATTAAGAGTGAGTTAGATTCACTGTTATTGTTATTTGGTTGATTGTCTCAAGTGACGTAACAATCACACAACGTAATTATCAAACTAATTTCGATTCCTGTGTGTAGATTTTAGCTGAATAAGAGTAATTATATATGGCCTAGTAGATGTGACTCGTGTTAGCGAACGCACATTAATTGATTGGAGCCCTCACAATCAGTGGTTAAAGATAATGGCTGTTATAACTCGGAATCGGTTATCACAGTGTTAAACATTCATCCACTCTTTGTCTTCATGTAGAATTTGAGCTTCTTCATTCCTATATATATACCTTTTCAAATAATATTTAGTCTTTCTCATTACCAATGATACTATTATTAGTTTAACTCTTGTTTTTCTTCTCGTACTGATGTGATATAACAACTTGGGCTAACGCGCATTTGTGCTAGTCTCTGTGTTGATTATAACTGATTGAATAAATGTAATGAGACCACTGATTATATTGTAATTTAAAATTAGTCTGATAGACACAATAGGTCATTTAGCTAAATTAGGTTTCAAAATGTTACAAGGATTTATAATTGCAGACGAAACTGCCGAAATTTTTTTAAAACACTTATATTTCATCACCGACATTCAGTACATCTTCCCTATATTCCAATGACTTTGAGCTGTAAGGATATATTAAATGCTGCTACATGTTTGCAATTTCCGTACTGACTGAATTGATTTTGATCATGAAAATAACCGTATGATTAGTAGGCATTCTAGATATCTGTATCATGTATCATTTCACTCTAATAATAAGCGTTGAACCTAGTCACGTTATGTACTAATAGCTAAAAATGACTATATATATATAGAAAATACTGTCCGTTATTTTAAAAGTAGTTTATATTAAGCTGTTTATCATATTAATTTATTCTATCATTGGTTTTCAAATTCTCAGTTTCTTTGTGTTTTTTTTGTCTTCAGCTGAATAGTGAACATTAGCAGCGTACTTATTTTGTATGGTATTGCATGATCCTAGACTACACTTAACAGATATTCCGAATTCTTTCATCTTCATTCATCATCCTGTTTAATTAAGACCCCGTTTTTTGATGTACCAAGTTTTAATTTCGGTAAACGTATAATATACTAACAACTTGGAGGGATTTATCAGGTAGTCAGGAAACGCTACCTAGATACAAAACAATTGACAGGAAAGTGAAACACTATAACAGTGGAATAATAGCTTTGATCTCAATGATCAACCTTCAGATGCCAAATTGTTCTTCGTAGTAAATGGAAAAGGTTAGGTTTCGCATATTACGTATCGGGCTAATGTTGTAATTCAAGGCTATCACTCCATAGAGTTTTTGTCACCAATTGACACCGGCGATAGTGCAAAAAGATCAGGATGACGTATTAAGAGTGAAGCTGGAGTTCTGAAATGGGTTTACAAATTAAGGTTAAGATTTTCATCATAAACTGACACTAGCTATGATCCAATGCTTTGTCACCCTTTTGTTTACAAACTTGAGAAACTTAGGTCTGGGATTTAGAGTGAGTGTGAAAAGGAAACATTACTTAGCGTCACCAAACGTTTTTGACTACACAATCGATGACGTAACTATTTTGACACAATCTTCCTTAGAGTAGATTCGTCATGTAATTTAGCATAAACACCACCTAAGATTTACGTTACCGTTGCGTAATTGATTTAAAACACTCCAAAAACCAAATATCGTCATTTTCCACTAGGTTAGTATTAACATACACGTTATTTATCACCGCACTTTAAACTTTACGCAAAATAATTGAGATGTCATCTTAATTTAGGTTGGTGAACTCAAGGCCGTCGGTACACTATACTTATACCATTATTTCTTTACTTTCATACTAGTTGACTGCTCCGTAAATTTTGTGACCAACTGCTGAATAGTCAAAACATGTGTTTCGTCCTGTTTGGAATTCGTCAACTGGGTATGTTAACATCCTTAGCGGGTGTCGTCTCTACTGAAATTTAGAAATAGTATACGTCTTGTTAATTTACTGAGTTAAAACAAACACCCTTTTATTGACCGTTATCACTCGTATATTTTAAGAACTCATGTTTTATTCAGTTAAAAATTCTGTTGTGGTGTATTAAGGGCATGAATATTAAAATTGGTCAATTGATTTACCATATTACAGACCATTTTACTATAACTAACCTATTATTGAATGAATAAGATTGTCATTTATGTATCATATATTGAGATATTCCTAAAAATACTCATGAAGAGCTCTACTGTATAAATACTTCAACGTATTTTGAGAGATTTTTTCCCTTTAATTTCATATCCTGTTTGTTACTTTTTTTCTTCACAAATACTGTTTCGATTTAGTCGAGTGAACATTTGCAGGATCCTGAACAAGTTGAAGAAGCTTTGGGTATTTTAAAAGATGACAAAGAATTTGAGGAATTCGAAAAAGAAAGTATGTTGTACTTTTTAATTATGATTATTAGCACTTTTTTTCCCGAGTGTCATATAAGTAAATTTAACGAACTTAACATATTTATTATTTCTTTGTAACGGATACTGGTTTAAAAAGAAAAGCATTTTGAAGTATGCTATATATACAACTTAACAATTATAGTGTAATGGATGCTATTCACAAGGATGTTTGTAAGTAGTGTGTAGCGGAACGTGGCGTCCAAGTTGCAACAGTTGTCAGGCATAGCGAAGACTTTCAGTGTACTGAAAGCACAACGTTGACATAACACATCGGAAGTTGCAAATGGACGATTGACGGCCATGTATGTGTACTATGTAAATACTTGTAACTTGTAATAAATATGCATACATCCTGCCCATTGTCGTGTTTTACATTAGGAATAAGATGTGTGCTGAATAAATTGTTAGTATTTATAAAAGTAAAAAGCAATTTAAGGTGTGAAAACATTGAATAGACGAGGAAAGTTTTATATTAGGCGTTTTGAGTGTTTATTTAACCTCTAGTATAGTTCTGTTGATTCCTTATCGAGGCTTCAACTACATGACCGAGTAATGCGTCAGATTCGGAAAACTAAAACACAAAACTATCTGTGAAGACGGTATTATAATTACGAAATTATGTGAAGCAAAATACAAACATCAACTAGTCAGGTGTCCATAGTATTGACTAAGTCAAAGATTTCTTCCTATAATAAACCTATAGATTTATTTACAATGAAATAGGATGTGATTATATTTGTGTCCATTGGATTAAAAGTGTTTATATGTCATGTTTCTATTTCGTTTAAATTAGCTTGGACAGCATCAGAGGAAGAGATTTCGGATCTGCAAGTATGGGATGATAAATGGGATTGTGAAGTTGAGATAGATGACCAGTTTACTCAATATTTAAGGTGAGTGCTGATGTGACTAATTTTTCTTTGTTTCATTATTTCAAAGGTTATTGTTCGTCTAAAGATTCTTGGATTTCTGTTCATTACTTGTCGTATATTAGTATGTTTGCTTTTCCAGTGACATGTTTTTAGACTGTTCATTGAGTTGTGTTACATCAGTGATGGCAACTTTACTGATTGTTCCCATATAACGTCAAATGTTATGTGAATGTTTTTCTTAGATGTGGCTTCGGATGGAGGAAACTTTATGTACAGTGACTAAATTAGGAGATACACCTGGGAATTTCTGAATATTTTATTCCGTATTACAGAAATTACTCCTTTGAAAATGACGATTAAATCTCGAGTTTGTCTGTTGAACGGATGGTAGTGAGGTAGAAGTGAAGTGTGATAATACGTCATGTCGTCGAAAATACTTGAATACCTGTTTGCTCATTCTATTTTCTCAAACCTTCTGAAAATACTGGTTGACCTGGTGAAGTTTAATTAGCAAGTGCATCATATTTTACCATCCTTGCTATTACTGATACCGATTGAATCCTGTTGGCTGTCGGTCCGATGGAGATTTCGGTCCGAGCACGACCTTCATCAAGTTGTCAATTACGATACTAATGTATTAACTGGTAATTTTAACATAGATTGTACTTTGAATTGATTATTTTCATTCATAATTAAGACCTTGTAGTGAACATGAACACGAGTGGGGGCAATCGAATGTATTTGAACACGAAATTACTGAATGTCTCACTAAAATCTGAGAACTATAAATCAAATAGTTAATTTGCAAAATATCAATCCATTATGATAAGATGGTTGTTGGAGGTAGTCAACACGAAACCCTGGACCCGGGTTTCGTGCTACTTGGCACTCATCAGCAAGGTGTACCGGTAATCTTGAGGGAACTGGTGCTCCTTGACGGATCCAATCCCTTGTCCAGGGTTTCCCGTTGACTACCTCCAATCATCATCTTATCTCAACATAGTGCATGCAATGTCGAGTCACCTAGAATAGCGGCCAGATTGCAACTTGATTGATAGCATTCGATCTGTACCAAGAAAGACTTGACACACATGACATTGATCACCACCCAGTGATCAATCAATTGTGAATCAATCCATTGTCTCGAACTTAACTGCTCCTTTTGCAAATCTCAGTCCATCGCCTCAGATTTCACTGTTCGTGCATTTTCATACCAATGGCTTTCCGTTCCCGTCCCAGTTCTTTCCTTCTTGATCTTCTACTGAAATACATTCTATTCCGGACTGTCGTTATATACTACTTATGTGGAAATAAGTAGCTCACACCACAACTTGAGTAAAATCACACAGTCAACAAATTTTTCATCTACTTAAGCTTTTATAAATCAGATTTAAGAAAGAAGAGACTAATTTCTGTTTAAGCAGTGCACTCTCCAAGTCCATAACATTTAAGGGTTCTACATGGATTTTGTACATTAAGTTATAAAATACACGATTCAAATTTCTTAATATCAAGGCGACTAAGATTATTCTTTTTATTTTCAGACAAGAACTGACCAAACTTGGCCACTTACACGAAACTAATTAAATTCATTGTTAAACATTTCAAATAAATCATTATCACAATGATTGCGTTCCAAATAAACTATTTGTAATGAATAATACGTTCACATTCCTCGTGTTACAAGTTTTTCACTTTCCGATTTAAACAACTATTGAGAAAATCCAATTTCCTACGACTTTGCGCACATCGTTAAAATGAGAGAGGTGCGAGTATTCTTAAAATGATGTAATTACAAAAGTAAATCACTTTGCCAAAAAGGGATAATCTACTGTCGTTAAATGTGTGCTGGATTACCTTAATCGTCCGTATGCGAAATAAACTATTTGACTACTTTGTGGTGATATAGACTTTTATAAACGAAGTCAATCGAAAAATCAAACTAAAGTTTTCATTAGATATCGTTATTTGGGCTTAAATAATGAAAATACACCAAAATCATCAATTTGAAGTGTGAATTTCCCCCACAATCATAAATTCTAGAAAACAGTACATTGTCGAACATATAAATCCAAAGATATAGTGAGAACGGACTTACGCGTATATAGATAACAGTACATCGGATCTGTTAAGAAGACGTTTATTGTGCATTTATCATGAAACAACATAAATAGTTAAGCAAAGCATAAATAAGAATGCCTATTATATCACAAGGTATTATGCATATCATATATACGTTGTCACAAGAACATCCTTATTAAAGTTATAGAATTGAAAAGTAAGAAAGAAGAAATTTTATTTGACCAAATGGTGAACTACTGGTATCGTTGAAGCAACCAAACATATCACAGATAAGCAAAGTGAAATGAAATGAAAGTACCATAATTGGGTAAAGATGTACCATACTATAGTTTGAATTAAATTAGATATCCACCATGAGAAAAAACATCTATGAAGAAAATATTGGTACAGTGCTTGTTCTACTATACCGTTGTTCATTAACATGATATAAGGTAGCTGTCCCCAACCGAATGAACAGCCTGCATATAAAATAATCATTAGAATATTCACGGTTGTTGATGGCTGAATGAGTACTTTATCAACAAGCAACTACAGTAGGGAAGTTATGGTAAATTGGTATTAGGATAGTTTGAACACTAAATAAGAATGTTTTGATTTAAAAAAATTAGCGTTTATTTCTTGCATCAAAGATAATTCGCCATGTATTAGCCCTAAAGTCTATGTCAATTAAATCTGAATAAGTGAGCATGATTTAACAAAGCTTTAAATAAAGTAACCGACTGCGTGGTACTAATTAGTGAAAGTGATTGATTACATAATCTTAACGTAGTTTGGATCTGAAAGTTTCTACAAGGTAAATACATTTCTTAACTATAACTTCAAGATAAATTTACTAACTGGAATAGATTGAAATGTAACTTGACTGTGAGAAATTACATATTTTCGGATTGTAGCTATCACTGGATTCTAGAACGCATATCTCATGCTACTTGGTATTTGTCAGTTTTATGTAACTCACATTAACTTGGTGCTGATGTTATTTTGTGTTGTCATAACCAGTTGATGGGTAACAGGCTCCATAGATGCAAGACCGCTGGTAGTAGGCAGTCATGGTAGTGAGTGACTCTTAGCGACCGAGTGTAGTTGAACAGTATCGATAGGTCCAGTGAATTACCTGTCTACTTTAAGGGAGGAAATAGGATGGAAAAAATAATACAACTGCAAAGTAGGAAAAATAAGGCAAACTGAGCTTGAAGTCCACTTTGGTCTAGATGTGTAGAGAGCCCATAATGTCTGAGTGGGGCGCAGAAGTGTTCGTACGTGCTAGATCAGCGCAAGTGAGGGCTTGATTAAGCGGTTTTACAAACGTATGTAATTCATCTCCCATGCGTAATTCGGAGGGAATACTGTTCCATATTATTGCATACTTGATGAGGAAGAAGTTTACCCGAGATTTAGATCTGTGTTTCTCAACTTTGACCGTAGATACTTTGTTTCAAAGTCCGTATTCATGTATGTCTTGGGCAAGAACTATCTTACATGTTGAATAAGTAAGCCTTTTGAGTAGTTTGAAGTAGAGAATCAAATTAGACCTAAGCCTTCTTTTCCAAAAGGGTTCTATTCCTAAGATTTGTCATCGAGAACTGTAGTCAGTGATCGATTCAGTCTTAAGTATTTTTGAGGGAAGTCTCAGTGTATTCCTTCCACCTTTAGTATATCAGATAGGCGTAGGTTGGATAATAAGAACGAGCAGTATTCAACGATAGGTCTTACACAAACTTTATAAAGAAGGATTTTAGATTCATTTTGATAGAAATTACGGAGAATGAGCCTAAGCAATTTCCGAATGTTAGGTGCTTTGGTTGAGATGTGTCCAGAGAATTTAAGACTGTGAGTAATGTACCCCTAGGTCAGTTACTGATGCCAGTCTGAGCAGTGTGTTGTTGTTAAGTGTTAGTTTTATTTTAAGAGACGTATCTCCTTTTTATAAGCAGCCGCATTTCTCTGTGTTGAGCTCTAACCTCCAGCGTTTGCACCAGTCGTCTACCATGTTGAGTTAATGTTGAATTGTTTGCATAGTACTACGTACATCGCAAATGTCAGTTTTATAGACGACTTTTAAGTCATCGGCGTAGAGGTAGGCCTTACCTGTGCTAAAGCATTCGCATATATTGTTGATGTAGATTCTAAAGAGCAATGGACCCAAGACACTACACTGCACAACACCACTGATTATTGGTTGAAGTGTAGATTTTGTACAGTTAATCTTGTTTATTTGGTATCTGTTCGTAAGAAAAGATTTGATCCATTGCAAAAGGGGATTTATAATTCCGACTGACTTAAGTCTTTCGATTAGAAGATTATGAGGTACTTTATCAAAGGCTTTCTTAATATCGAAGTATAGTAGAACCACTAGTTTCTTCTGGTCACGTATGCGAGCAACCTCGTTAAAGAATTCTATCAGACATGTACTGCAGGACCTTGTTCTAATGAAGCCGTGTTGTGACGAGTCTATTAGATCTTCCTTAAGTAAGTGATCAGATAGTTGATTTTGTATCACTTTTTTAATTATGCGTGATATAACTCGAGTGATATTTAAAGATCTGCAGTTTTCGACTATGTTTCTCGGTCCTGATTTGTGTTTGAGAAGAACATACGTTACCTTCCAGGTTTCCGGATATGTACCTGTCTCTAAAGATAATGTGTATATTTTGAGTAGTAGCGTCTGTATATACGGTTTGTAAACTGCAGCACTATTGAGGCATAAGTGGGTTGACATTTTTGGGTAACTGAGTGGTTGGGCTGAGGGTGAGTGGTTGCAGCTGCTTTATGTGCAGTCCTGTTCTTAGGACTAATGACAGCATGCGGCGTGCCTCCAATTTAGGGTGGGGTAGTGTATGGTGTTTTAGGATTTGTGCAGTGATAAGCGCTGTAGCTGCTGCGTCTACGTACACTGGGTTGATTAGTTTGCGTTCTATTGCGGATTCGACGCTGGATAGCAGTCCTGTCATGAATGATTCTAATCTTTTTAAATGTTGGAATACGCTTTAGTAATGACTGACTATTGAGGAGGTGATTAGCTTCAATGATAGCACGGAACTAAAATAGAATGGACAGGAGGCTTTAGTGTGTGCTTTATGTAGTCTTCTTGTTACACACCAAGAGTGCGACAATCCACATCCTTGTAGTAGAGTATTTTTAGCAATCTTCACGTTCGCACTATCAGGTATATTATACACAATGACATTCCGCATACACTGAAGTCTTTTCAACACTTCAGATCATATATGGTCTATTACTTTTTCAGTGTTTTCTTATAATTTCGAGACCCGGATTTTCTGGAACATTGATTAAATATTTGTACGGCACTAATTCTTGGACAGTTTGGGTGAAGCTAAGTTATGTTTGGCTGCTTTTAGATCTACCAAAGGTGAGATTATTGAAGTTTATATCAAAGCTTTCAAGGTCGATATGGTTACATACAGATCACATTGTCACACTGTCTAAATACTGCTCAAAACATGTGATGCTTTTGTTTGGACTGAAAAATGATGTCAACTCTAACGGTATGTGACTGCTCGTATTTATATCTATAAACGAGATTCAAGGTAGTAATATGTCATGTCAAGTAAACGGTGCACGTTTAGTGTAGCTGAAAAAAGATCAGAGTAGGATGCCGACTGATCGGTGTGTTTATAAAGCTTCACATTATTCGCTTTAGTGACTAATTTAGATCTTTTGCAGGTGCTATAGGCATCAGGAGACATTATATGTTTTTTAGATGGTTTGGACATTGTTGGAAGTAATGTTAATTTAAAGTTTAATTAAGTGAACAGCGACAGTTATAACTTAGGTTATTAGACATGTAAAGTTCTTTGGTAGGACCAAATCCTGTATTAGTCAAGAGCAAATATATTGAAGTTGATGGGCGAAAAGATGTATACAGCGTGAAAACTAGCGAAGTGAATGTATGACTTTGAGTACCGAAATGAGGTGTCAGGTTGATAGAACCCTATCAGTGATGAACTATTTATCGCTAATAAATGTTAAATTAAAGGAAAAAGCTAACAGGAAAACAAAATAATACCACGTGAAAAAAAGTTACAACCTTCTAAAGAGTTATAAATTTGTGACAGTAAGTACAGGAACGGGCAACCAAGTGTATGAAGGCAAAAGACATAGGTCTTAAGATGACCGACTCAACCGTTTGTGTTTATTGTCACTGACCTGGAGGGGAATAAAGGGTAGTCTGATAATGGCACACGATGCATTAAGTACACCAAATCACAACAAAACGAGCATATTGACAGGAAAATCATTCCGACGCTGCTTGACGCAACCCTTGAAATAGAGCACACCAAAGAGAGAACAACCAGATACGGTCCTAATCTTCTCATTACGAGTTGCCCCACTTAGAATGCTCTCCCTGATGAAGTGGTCACAACATCCACAGTGGAGAGCTTGAAAATGAGACTTGACAAACATGCACTCACTCACGAATAATCATCTTCCTCTTGGACCAGTTATGTATGATCCATGTCTCATAATTTGCCTGCTGTTATCATTACCGTATATCAGTGACTAATCCCTACCTCGCTTATTATCTTCTCCGTTCCCTCTCGTTCTTACAATACAATCTTGTGACAAGCATATTCGAAATCAGACTTCACTGAGGCTAGTAAGGTGGTCGTACTGCACTGATTGTAAGTTTTTGCAAATTAACACTAGTCCTTTAAACCAGGAAGGAAGTACGTGGAAATCAGTCCTTTTACACAATCCCATCAATGAGACATTGGATATTGACAACAGGATATTTGTAGGAAACGTAGCGGACGGACGAAATTTCGTCCGAGATTTGTCGTTATCGTGGTAGTTTTGCCCATAAACTTTATCACACGTAAGTTTCTGTTGTTCAATGTGAAACTATGGACGTAGGTCCATCATAACACGAGATGTAAGGTTCTTTCTTTTCACAACAATTTGGAACCATATCAATCCTCACTTTTCGGTTTGGTTATATGGAAATATGAGAGAAAAATGGATTGGTGTCACAGTTTAAAATATTTCGCTCCATCCGCCAAAGCTATAATGCTTTACACAGAATTTTGTTCTCTCGAGAGGTGACGTATCCTCAGTGTTTTGCATACGACAATGAAGTTGGTTACAATATTTCTAATATCTCGGTCACGAGATTGGATAAACCTATCGGTTACTTTGCTCTTGCTTCTTGTTATTTCATCACGGTTCCAGATATTAAGTAATACTCAAGTGGTACTGGTCGAGCAACTTTTCCCGACTAATTCTAGTCCGATAATTATCTGTGGGTTTGTATATCTTATAGTTAAGTGCATTTATCTCAGAACATCAGGATTTCTGGGACCAGCAGAGATTAGATTACCAGGCATTAGGTTCACTCATTGCAGTGTGATAACGATAAAGTGATCATTCCAGTACTAAGACAAGTCAATTGTTTCAAGAAATAAATGTACAAACAAGTTAATTAATTCATAAAGCAGAAATTGTGGGATTACAGAATTGTAAGAAATAGAGAAAAACGGTGATGATAATAAGCGAGGTAGAGATTAGTCACTGATATACGGTAATGATAACAGCAGGCAAATTATGAGACATGGATCATACATAACTGGTCCAAGAGGAAGATGATTATTCGTGAGTGAGTGCATGTTTGTCAAGTCTCATTTTCAAGCTATCTGCCGAGAGGGCTGTAGTTACTTCATCTCGAAAAACATTCTTCGCACATGCATATTACCGTGGTCTTTATGTTAATGTAAACAAATTATCAGTGGTTCGTAAAAATTGTGTACGGTTCAAAATCAAGATTGAGATTCTGTTTTCCTCAGTCTGAGCTGAAAACTACTCGATTAATTTACATCAGACGCATCTATGAAAATCCTTAGGTAAAGTAAGATTTTCCCATAGATGGATTTAAGATCACGGATTAACTGACACATTATCTGGATTTCTTATGTATACTTTGTTTTCTTTCCCCTAATATCTTTACAATACTTTTGATGATACTAATAAAACAACATTCGGGTTTTTCTGTTTACTTAGTTGTAACATATCCGTAACACGCTAGAAATTGATTTAAAATCATTCTTGCTCAAAAATAGACCACATTTATCTGAAAATAGGTTACTACCCAAAGAAGCAGCTTATTCCTTTCTCATTGGGATATTACACATATGTTATTGTATTTGGTCATTGTGAATTGTTCCTCCTTATTCAAATATTTTGTCGAATAACCATATGAAATTGAGGGGAAATTCGACTCTACTGATCAAGAGGTTCTGTGGCAGTGTCCGTCATTGAAAAATGTACAGAATATATACGTCAACCTTGTACATACTCTCTACTCAAACAACACTGGCTGAGTCGGAGTGTGTGACAGACTTTCAATAGAATTAATTACATCAGGTTGTATTCATTAGGGTTGTCCACTTTACGCATTTTCATTTAACTCTGTCATGGACATTCTTATGGAGGTAACGTTATCATTATCTTACCTTTGAGAAATTGATCTACCAAGAAATTCACTTGTTAACTTAAAACACCAAGATGATGTATTTTTGCTTGGAAACGTAATGAAAAAACGTCAAATCTTCTATTCATCGTGAAAAATCATGAAAATATGTTTTTGATACGTTTTCATCCCTCTTTAGGTAAAATGTTTGGGGGCTGATCTACGTCAGCGCCTAAACTACTGATAAGATGTGAAGTAGTTGTGTCTGTTTTCCTCTTCATTTATCTTGTAAGTGTTATGAGCTCTATTGTGTTGGTGTTTGACGAAATCACGGCACGGATTCAGAAGACCCGATTGGCTTTTACCCAATTGCATCACGTGTGGAGCATGTAAGATATCCATCCGCTAAATAAGGAATGAGTTTATTGAGCAGCAGCTTGTTTATTTCGACTTTATGGATGTAAAACGTGGCCATTTGAGACAGAATATTTGTAGATTATTAGTATTTGATCATATATAACTAAGAAGTGTTGCTTACGTATGTTGGGACCAAGTGAGCGATGCAGAGGTTAGACGTAGGGAACTAAGTATGAATAAGAACTCGGTTAATGAGGCAGAGATATTTTATCGACTGAGGTAGTCGGCATACGTATGACGTATGCTCAACCACCGCAGAAAATGCCTCCTGAAGTTGGTTATTGTAGGGGTATATTAGAAGAAATCTGTGTTCGTCCAAACAAAAACGTGGCATCAGTCCATGAAGTTATTGTCAGTCGTACTGAGCTACGTCGAGATACAGACTATTTGGTTCGTGCTCGCACAATTATCGTAAACAGTGGTTTAAAATGTTGTGTGTCATGGGAAATGATCGAGTGGTGTAAGTGCATTCACTCTTTGTCTTCTCTTCGACTGCAAGTTTCCGCGAATTCATTCTCGGATCCTATTGTCAATGTTTGATTTTTTTTATTGCTGACATTTTCACTACTTTTATAACTCTAGCATTTGTCTTGTGAGTTTCATGCCATCGTACCGTTATTTTGTGGTTAATAACCTTAACAACCTTAGATCCTCATATTGTTTGCTTACAGACTCTCCACATATCAAGGTTATAACAAATCTTGTGAATAATTTAGTTGCACAAACCCGTTGGTTAGTCTTCACACCACTCATGAGTCTTATAGTGTCGCCCATGTAGAGTTCGAGTAAAGGCAACTATTATGTTGTGATTTTATGTAGAATATTTTATTCATTTCTTTTCCAATAGACATTTCATTCTCTTTTTAAACAGATAATGACTGGCACCTATGTAACTGCACAAGCAAAATTTACAAAGTTGAGAAAGAGACTTGATCAACTGGGGTATAAACAACCACTAGGTCTAGACAGCTTACCATTAGTGGAACGTTTGTTTTATGACCTTGTTTGGACAACGGAGAATTTGAGAAAGGTTAGGAGTGAACTTTCTTCTCAAATTCAAATTCGATCTACGGTTGAGGATTATATTGCTCCATACAAAGCAGATAATGGAAAGTTGATACGCGAAAACAATGAAATTAATCACCATTTAATGATCCTTCGTCAAGATTATGAAGAAAATATTCGAGGTTCTTAAATACTATCCTAAATATACAAGTAGGTTTAAAAGGCGAATGCAGAAGATTAGAAAATGAGAATGAAGACATGAAATATTTCAATTCTCAATGTCTTGATAAAATTCATAATTATGAGCGGGAAGCTAAACGAATGATTGAGCAAATATTATATTTACAAGAGAAGAATTTTCAGGCTGTAGTATATACACCAGGTAATGATCTGTGAAAGCTATTTATGTTAAGCAATCAATTATTTTGCAAGTGGTTTTTATCTCATTTTTCCATTTGTTATTTACTTAATTTCTGCCTAACAGTTGTTCATCAAATTCTCTGCAAAATTTAACATTCTAATGTAACCTATTACTATTCTAGATCTTATTCTCCTCACCATCAAAAACATGATGTGAGTTTTGTATAAATGCTTACAAATACTGATGCCTCTAAGTGATGATATCGTGAATTATTGACTATAATGAGAAGTGCATTTTCGGTGGATAAGTCTAAATCGACTGGACGTTTATTGATGTAATTAGTATGACAACGAACTGTCGGAATAAATCAAAACTGAATTATAATTTTATATAGAAAACGTTTTAAAATTTATAGAGCCTATAGAGTGAAGGTCACTTACTACTTACTTACTTACGCCTGTTACTCCTCGTGAAGGAACATAGGCCGCTCACCAGCATTCGCCGTCCAACCCTGTTCTGGGCAATCCTTTCCAGCTCCTTCCAGTTGTTATTCATCCTTCCCATATCTGCTTTTATTTTCCGACGTAATGTGTTCTTTGACCTTCCTCTTTTCCACTTCCCTTCAGGATTCCAAGTTAAGGCTTGTCTCGTGATGCAGTTTGACGATTTGCGTAGTGTATGTCCTATCCATTTCCATCGTCTTTTCCTAATTTCCTCTTCAGCTGGAAGCTGGTTTGTTCTCTTCCACAAAAGGTTGTTGCTGATGGTATCAAGCCAATGGATGTTGAGTATCTTGCGTAGACAGCTATTTGTAAATACTTGTACCTTCTTGATGATGGTTGTTGTAGTTCTCCAAGTTTCAGCTCCGTACAGTGGGACTGCCTTGACATTCGTATTGAAGATTCTTACTTTGATATTGGTTGGCAGTTGTTTTGAGTTCCATATGTTCTCCAACTGAAGCAATGTGGCCCTTACTTTGCCAATCCTCGCCTTTACGTCTACATCTGAACCTCCTTGTTAATCGATTATGCTTCCCAGGTGTGTGAAGGATTCTACATCTTCCAGAGTTTCACCATCAAGAGTGATTAGATTACTGTTCTCCGTGTTGAATTTGAGGACCTTTTCTTTTCCCTTGTGTATGCTGAGGCCTACTGATGCAGAGACTGCTGCTACAATGGCTGTCTTTATCTGCATTTGTTCATGTGTATGCGATAGGAGGGCCAGGTCATCTGCAAAGTCCAAATCGTCTAATTGATTCTGAGCTGTCCATTGTAATACGCGTTTTCCCTCAGATGTCGAGGTCTTCATAATCCAGTCGACCAACAGAAGAAAGAGGAAGGGAGAGAGTAGACAGCCTTGTCTGACTCCAGTCCTTGCTTGGAATGCATCTGTCAGCTGTCCTCCATTCACGACCTTGCACTGTAGTCCATCATATGAGTTCCGGATAATATTGACAATCTCCTCAGGAACTCCGTAGTGTCGAAGAAGTTTCCATAACGTTCTCCTATCCACACTGTCAAATGCCTTTTCATAATCAGTGAAGTTGATGTACAGTGACGAGTTACACTCAATTGGCCTGTGCACGACCGATCCTTACGGAATCCAGCTTGTTGACCTCGAAGTTCGGCGTCTACTGCGTCTTTCATCCGGTTCAGCAAAACTCTGTTAATGACTTTTCCTGGTATTGACAGTAGTGTAATGCCTCTGTAGTTTTCACATTTGCTCAGATCTCCTTTCTTTGGAATCTTGACGAGGTGCCCTTCCTCCCAGTTCATCGGCATTTGTTCCTCCTCCCAAATCTTTTTGAATAGAAGATTAAACATGCTTGTGGTTGCTTCGATGTCTGATTTCAGTGCTTCAGCTGGTATGTTGTCGGGTCCTGCTGCTTTCCCGTTCTTGATTTGTCTGACGGCCATTCTGATTTCTTCCGTCGTTGGTGGGTTGACATCTATAGGAAGATGCGTGCTGCTTCGATGTCCGGTGGATTCATTGAAGCCGGCCTATTCAGGAGTTCCTTGAAGTATTCTACCCATCTGTTCCGCTGTTGTTGAATTTCAGTGATTGGCCTGCCTTATTTGTCCTTGACCGTTCTCTCTGGTTTACTGTATTTCCCTGCTAGTTTCTTCAATGTATCGTAAAGTTGTTTCATATTTTCTTCCCTTGCAGCTTTTTTTTGCCGTCGTTGCTAGTTCTTCCACGTATTTCTTCTTGTCGGCTCTAACGCTTTTCTTCATTTGCTTGTTTGCTTCTATGTATTCAGCTTGTGCTTGGACTTTCTCTGTTCGTGTTCGGCTGTTATTAATTGCTGTCTTCTTGTTCTTTCTTTGATCTTGTCCAGTGTTCCTATAAAGATCCACTCCTTATGATGGTGCTTCTTTAGACCCAGAACCTCTTGACACGTTGAAGTCAATGTTTCTTTGATGCCTTTCCAGTTGTCCTCCATAGTAGTTTCTTCTTCGTTCAGTAGATTCTGTAAGGCTCGGAACCTGTTGTTGAGAGTTATCTTGAATTCATTCAGTTTGTTAGTATCTCAAAGGAAGGCTGTATTGAACCTTTGTAATGCTGTTTGTGCAATTGTCCAGTTCTTCTTTAGTTTCAGTTTTAAATTGTCCACAACTAGGTGGTGATCTGAAGCTATGTCAGCTCCTCTTCTGGCTCTCATATCTTCCATTGTCCTTCGGAATTTTTTATTGATGCAGATATGATCTATCTGGTTCTCTGTAGTGTGGTTCGGTGAGATCCATGTAGGTTTGTGTATAAGTTTGTGTGGAAATATTGTGTCTCCTATGACCAATTTGTTGAATGCACACAGATTTGCAAATCTTTCTCAATTTTCGTTTCTCTCCCCCAGTCCATGTCGTCCCATAATATCTTCATATCCGGTGTTGTCTATTCCGACTTTGGCATTTAGATCTCCCCTCAGAATGGTGAGGTCGTTTCTTGGGCGCTTCTTTATGATTGACTGCAGCCGCTCGTAGAATTGGTCTTTAATGTCGTCGTTGCTATCATTGGTGGGTGCATAACATTGAATAATATTCATTGTGATCCCCTCCTTCTTTGTTTTGAATAGTGCTTTGGTGATTCTGGATCCGTGAGATTCCCATCATATAAGTGCATTTCGTGCTACCTTGGACAGCATTAGAGCAACTCCCTGAGTGTGCGGAGCATTTTTCTCTTCATGACCGGAGTATAGTAGCATCTCTCCCGTGTTTAGCCTTTGTTGTCCAGCTTAGGTCCAATGGGTTTCGCTGATTCCCGGTACTGCCAAGTTGTATCTCATCATTTCCGTTGCTATTTGACTGGTCTTCGCGGTCTCACACATTGTTCAGACGTTCCATGTACCTATAAAATTTTTTGCACTAGTTGTTAGTAGGGGCATCGGCCTCGTGGCTTCCGAAGGAACTCGGCTTTCACCATGAAGCGTCATAATTCTTCTGAATGAAGACCTTCTAACTTTCAGGGCAGAGTTTAAATGGTTTGAATAATTGTTTCTGGTAAGCGTTTTTTTAGCGAGTTAGTTTTCTACGGGACGGGGACGCTAACCCCATGCCCAATTCTCCTCCTTTTCGGGCTTGGGACCGGCAGTAACTCTGGAAGAGCTACAGGCGGAGTTAAGGTCACTTACTAAGTTTTTAATTATTCACTACCAATTCATTTTGTGTTCTGCTGTGGTTACCTGAAGTTAACAGACTTCATTCGTATGATGATGTTATCAAGAATGTTATGCGGACATAAATTATACACCAACAAAGTAAAATTAATGGGTGACACTCAAAGACCATTTTATTAGAAGTGTGGTGACTGTTTGTAACTAGAAAATCAGTCTCAGTTCTCTATCTGGCGACTTTGTCAGAAATCGATGGATTCGTTTTCTTCTTTTGGTAAAAATTCACTCTGCATCAATTTTGAAGTAGGTAGAGACCACTTATAACTTTGAAGTTTAATTGTTCCTCCCCGTAACAAGCATGTAACAGATAGATTTCTGCTCAAATCCTTCATTCATCTAGGTTACTGTAAATGGAATTTTTCTTCAATGATGCCTCCACTAGTGTTGGTACTCTAATGACTAATGCCCTTATATTTTTGTTCATTGTGCGTTGAAAAATCTTTGTTTAGATGGTGGAAAAAAGCAATTGCCATTTAGACGTCAGAGAATGGATATTGATAGTTTGGCACCTCTTTCCAAGGAAGCTAAAACTTTAAATAATGAAAATTACTGTTGCTCAATAGCTCAAATTTGGGAAAAAGCTAATGTAAAAGGGATACCTAAGGTATTTCTTTCATTTGCAATAAACAAAAATTTGATTTTGTGCTATACAATGAAAATGTTTTCATATAATCAACTATTTAATCAAATATAATATTAGTTTTGAATTTAACTAACTGAATCCTGCTTCAGTTTGGGCACCCGGGCTGTATCACAGCCCTTACACAAATCAAATGACAGTTGTGTGGTGCATATATATCTGGTACTCCCTTGTACCAATATTTATGTGTTCAAATAGATAAATAAATAACTGAATTATTTACGGGCTAAAAAGTTGAGAAAGCCAACTGCTCTTAACGAGAAACTTTATATGGAGTTTTATTTTACTTGTATTTATGGACCTAAAAAATGTTCACTTTACGATAAGTCTCAAGGCATTAATTAATTCCTAATTTATTTACCTTTTGTTTCGTATCACAAAGTCTATAAAACTGTTGTATTCATGCTAACCCATTTGATCTATTTTATTTTTAATAGCTGATTTTTATTAAAATATATCCATTGATAAAGATATGACTATTGAAAAACTTCAGTGGTTTTTCAATGAAATAAATAGACAATTCTTATCTTTATTTGAATGTTTGTATTCAACTTCATATCAAATAGAAGAAGTTCCTGAAAGATTTCTTCCGATTGTACCTTTGCGTTCCCTGATTACTAGCACATTACCTTACACCAATCTCTTTGTTATTGTTCTCTCTTTTTTTTGTTGCGCTCCTTAGCTTTTTTTTTCTTTCTTTGTATTCCTCTCGAATTTTCATTGTTTTGTGTGGCGCATATATATTGGCGCTCTCCTGTACCAATATTCATGTGTCCAAATAAATAAATAAAAAATAAATAGTTCCAACAGTATTCTTTAAAGTATTATATTACATGTATCAGATAGAATCCATGATCAATTTTAGTCAGTATAATATCGTAAGATCAATAATGTTTTCTTTAATCTTTCTATTAGACATACAATTTACTGGAAATTGCAACTAAACGCTGTGAAGAATTAGAAAGTCAATTGCATAATTTAGAAGAAGAATTAGAATTAAATGAGAAAAAAGTTGAAAATTTTCGTCAACAAGTATGATTTTTTCTTAATAAAAAATTCAAATTATTAAAAATTTCCAAATAAAATGATTTACATTATGTAATTAATAAAGATATATCAGTAGTCAGTTACTTACTTACTTACGCCTGTTACTCCCAATGGAGCATAGGCCGCCGACCAGCAGTAGTCAGTTGAAAGCTTTTATATATAATAATAGACAGTGAGTTATTTTCATTTTTATGAAATCAGTCAGTCAGTCAGCTACAACGTAGGACCAGGCACATATATGCATCGGTCCAAGTTGCCATACCTCATTGACACAACAAGATGAACACCGGATTCATAAAAAAAGTTAATTCAGTTGTGGTAATATATAAAAGAAAGATTGCAATAAGAATATAGTACAGGAAGAAAGAATTAGTTCGTAGAAAGAAATATATGAAGCGATTTTAATCTCTTTGTTTAAGGGAAGACAGAGAGTGTATACACCTATGCCATTTTGATCGATTCTGAGCCATGTCACCAAGTCTCTAACCATTGGTTACGATAGTCACGCGGACCCCAACCAAGTAGTCTGCATCGACCAACATGGCTCAGACTAGAAGTTAGTGACTTCAAGCACTGATGACATGTTTTGGTTTGGCCGCCCCTAACTTTCTTCCAACCATCTCCAACACCGGTTAGCATTCCACGTCGTGGTAACCGGTATTCAGGCATATGTAACACGTATTTTATTAAATACTATGGAATTGTTCAAGTTCATTACGGTGAATCAGAAATCAGACTTCTAGCTTTGTACATATACACAATTAATATCGAAAAGAAATATCTAATCATTATAATGTTATCGTGTATATGACATCGTTTTAGAGGTTTAAAAGATAGTTGTAAAGCGACAAATACAGACCCTTCTTATTTATGTTATCATTAATTTACCAAGGTTTAGAATGTACTTATTTAATTACTTAAGAATGTTACCCCCAGTGGAGGATAGGCCACCGACTATCATTCTCCAACCCACTGTAGCCTGGGCCTTCCTTTCTAGTTCTATCCAATTTTTGTTCATTCTTCTCATGTCTCTCTCCATTTCTCGGCGTGATGTGTTCTTTGGTCTTCCTCTTTTCCCTTGACCTTGATGATTCCATGTGAGGGCTTGTCTTGTGACACAGTTGGGTGCTTTACTTAATGTGTGTCCTATTCACTTCCAGCGCTTCTTCCTGATTTCTTCCTCCGCTGGGATCTGGTTTGTTCTCTCCCACAGTAGGTTGCTTCTGATAGTATCTAGCCAACGGATCCGAATTATTTTGCGTAGACAACTGTTAATAAACACTTGTATCTTCTGGATGATGGCTTTCATAGTTCTCCAAGTTTCCGCCCCATACAGTAGAACTGTTTTGACATTTGAATTGAAAATTCTGACTTGGGTGTTGGTTGACAGTTGTTTTGAGTTCCAGATGTTCTTCAGTCGTAGATATGCTGCTCTTACTTTACCGATTCGCGCTTTCACATCTGCATGAGATCCACCATGCTCATCAATGATGCTGCCCAGATATGTAAATGTTTTTACATCTTCCAAAACATCTCCGTCAAGTGTGATTCGATTGGTGCATGTTGTGTTGTATCGGAGAATCTTGCTTTTTCCTTTGTGTATGTTGAGGCCGGCTGAGGCTGTTGCTACACAATGAGAATGGAAGATGCGTTTAAAATTTTTCAAGTGTCAAGCAAACTACACTCAAATATTAAGAAATCGTTTTCTTTTTTTCACATCATCTGTTTTAAAACTAGAATCTGAGTATCTATGTAACAGATTTTTGATTTAATTTATTCTCTTGGTATCATTGTATTTATTTATTTTGTTTTGCTATTCCTATAGAATTTGTCATAATGTTCATTGAATACTTGTTGTTTCACTATGAGCTTAATAAATTAACAAGTATGTTTTCTTCACTCAAAAAATAGAGCCTAACATTTCATTCAATCCTCATTGACTATCTATATTCACCATTATGATTTTGAAGTTGTTTCTTTAAAACAAAATGTTCTTTTTAATCTACTTGTGATCAGTTTCTCATTAATTTAATTGTAGTACGACTTTTATTTTAAAGTTTCATATAAGTAATTAATAATCTTATTAACAATTAGATCACTTATGAATAACGTGGAGGAATTTCGAATCAGTCTCATTATCATTTAAAATGTTATTTAAAAATTATCTTGAATAGAAATAAGCTACCATTGTATCTTGTTTTCATAGAATCTACAATGTTCTTTTCAAAAAACACTCAGTCTACCCTTAATTTGTATGGATATCATATAAAAAGAAAACTGTACATTTTCATGTAGTTCTCCTAGATTAGTGTTGGAACTTCAGGAATTGCGAGAAGTATTTAAAATTATCAAGTAACTTAGATCTTGACTACAGTTTATGAAATATTTGGGGTAATATAAGTTTGTATATATGATTGTTTACATAAATTCTGAATGTAATTAATTGAGTGAAATTAACATTAATGAATAAAATAAACGATTCATCGAACTAGTTAGAATGGTAAGCAATCATTTCATTTATTGTTTCATAATGTTGTAATAACGAGGTGTCAACATATTCACACTTAGTCCTGTTTTTGTTAGGTTATTCTAAGAGATTCTGAAATCGAACGATTACGAAGTATTTCAGAACGTGGTCGTCCATTAGAAGCTGTACTAAATGATTCGACTGAAAAACAATCGGATCGATTAATTCAACAGTTACAAATACAAGTTGATTTATTACAGACTAGAAATGCAGAATTAGAATCACGCATTGTAGATTTAATGAATCGAGAAATTCCAGTTATACAATCATCTACTATTTCAGTTCATAAAGAATGTCAAACAACGGCCTCATTCGAATCTATACTTGTAAATAATTCAAGTCAAACAAATTCTATGTATTCTTCCACATTTAGTGAATATGATTTAAATTCAGCTGCCGAGTTCAAAGTAAACAGTGATTGTTAAAATTTTTTTTATTTTCTTTGTATCCTTTTAATTTAATGAATCTCAAATGTCAGGTTCATGATTATCCATAAATAATGTTACCAAATGAAAATATTCTTGAATAATAGTAATTTGTATGCATTGAAATACTATAATACTCTTTCACTCACACATTGTGGAGTTCTCTGTTGAATATATTAAAATATGAAAACCAAATAAACGATTTCGTTGCTATTTAGGCGCACTGTTGTGTATTCTGAGGGAAGTATGACCCTTAAAAGGTTCTTCAATTGTTTTACAACTTCAGTTTTACCAAATATGACTGCAAACATTCACTGAAATTTTACTGATATAACTCACATTTGATGTGTTTATATTAAGTTTGACGCCAATTATCGAACCATCTTTATTCATTAATAATAATTATTCTGAATGAATCAAATATATTAGGTATGATACTGATCACATTGTTTCACTTCCATTACTGATAACCACTTCATATCTCAAATATATCAGTTGTTTGAACACAGTTACGAAGTATTTAACCAGCACCTCTAAATAATATTGGGATTATTGACGATTAGATATCAAATCCCCATCAATTCACAATATTAGTTTCGTACTCTGCACACAAGTGACAATCAGTCATTGAGAGATTTATTTTTTAACTGTTGTGTACATTCAGTTCGAACAAATATATTTGCTTCAAATAGATATGAAACCCATTAGGAGAACACGAGTACTATTATTTATATTAGAGGACATGAAATCAACATACTGTAGATCATTGTCTTAGATCAAGACTTCCACTAGGTTTTTATCATCAAATCATCACTATATTTAAGTCAAAGTCTTTAGAGGCCCGTGGTTTTGTCGTCGTTTAGATCGAACGATGTTGACGAAAGGGCTCCTAACTTTGGTGGCCCGAGATCTGACTTCACGAAGATCGTATGAATATTTGTTGTCACCTATCCTCGTATACAATCATCGACTTAAATCACGTTAGTCAATAACGGAATTTAGATAAGTCGATTAACGAGAATGGTTTTTGAATACATATATTTTGTATGTAAAGTGAATGTAATAGATCAAAGCAAATTGACGCGCAGGGGAGATGGCTGGTAAGCCAGCTTATTTTTAGCCAGGCGTTACTCAATATTATTTATAGGCAGACTTGTGATATGAAGTGTACACATATATACGCTCATATAAAAACAGTCAGGACTGATAAGCAAATAATTAACAAGGTCAAAATATGACTCAAGTAGAATGAATAGATTGGACTGTCCGAAAGTTAGAATAAAGTTTATGGGCTTAACATAATAACCAACACTACAAGTCAGTCAAACAATACAATTTCCCATAACTTGACTACTGTATAAAGTTTCACATACTAGTTGCTTTTATTATTGGGCTGAGAGCAATACTTTGTTCTTGGTCTACTTAATAAATTGTTAGGTTAAGATCCTGATTTCTATATTCATATTATATCATTATGATTGAAGTGACTTTTGTGTCGTTTTTTATATTTTTTTATGTAGAAAAAAATATGCAGTGCAATTGAAAAGTTTGAAAATGATCGGATTATCTTGACTAATCATTTAGATTCAATCATCATTCAAAGTGAGTTTAATACGGTGTAATAAACTTCCTTTACATATTGCAATTGTCTACTACTAATATTGTTATTAGGTTAGATTTTAGATTTGCTTCTTATTTCACTAAAACTCAAAAAAAGAAACGAAATATAGTCAATAGGTTAGTTAGTTAGTTAGTTAGTATAAGGATGTATATGTAACGACTCAGTCAATCAAACTTAAGCAACGTAGAACATGGCAGATATTTACAGCGACTAAAGTTGTCACACTATATCAGTACTGAGAAATGAAATTATCAAGACAAATACCAGAGTATTACAAAGAGTAACAGTATGGGCATTAGTAGAAAACGTCAAGCATAAACAGTATGAATTGAGAAGGAGGAATGAATTCACAGAATAGAAAATATAAAATATCTCAAAAACTCAATATCTAATTAGAAGACAAGGCATGAATGCATCTACGGTATCATAGATGCTTCTGAGTCACGCTACTTAACGTTTACAACCATTGAGTACAATGATCACGCGAACATTAATCAGGTAGCCTGCTTCTGCTTACAGGGCTCGGTCGGTTTTTTAGATTTGAAAATGACCAAACACTACGTCTGAGGAAAGAAATCAATTTAAAGATTCGCATATCGATTCAAAGTGATTTTTGTTTAATTAACTTTTAGAGTATTTTTGTTGTATGAATTTATTCAGAGTGCATTTTTCCATATGTCGGTTAATTTACTGTGACTTTGTGTTTAATGAAAATTTTGCATACTCCATCATTCTTCCAATCTTATTGTTATTTTGATTGCCCCCCATTTTCCTTCCTGTTCTCTTCATTTCACTCTTCTGCTGGTAAGCATTCCACTTCATGCTCTGACTATATAGTACTTGTATCTGTCTATATAAGAAGTACACACCACACTACTACTATACTGAAATGAATTTTGTAAAATATATGGAAATCGCCGCATTTGTTAAATGTATTGCACTAATACTAAAGAAAAATTATTGTCATTGCATATCTCAGTGCTAGTTGATATTCAATAAAAATATTTATTCCTGACAGGCTTTCGGATCCGGGTTTGCATGCAGAAAGAAAGATAATGTGTGTTGTCTTTAATAGAATACTGTATCTCTCGTCTCTTTGCTACGATACCGAGTACATGATATTTTTTCATAACTCATTACTTATCAGATCCTCTATAATAATTTCTTTATATAATATTTATCACAATTATAAGCAGAGATTGATAGTGATTAGACTTGTGACTTATGGCTATATCGAGGCAATACACACAGGATGCATATATACCAAATAAGACGGATCATTTGTAGTCCTGAACATCAATGCGAAGATTCAAACAACTAATACAAATAAATTTATCAGAACTGTAATAAATCATTAAAATCTGAACACAATTTTGATCCTGACTGACTGATCATTCAAACAAATCTTGCTCTTCTATACTCTTACCATGATGGTTTTTTTAAAAAATGTTTAACGAGTGATTTACTTATCAAAACATGTACAACACAAATAATTTGATATGCACCTAAGATACATTGATGTACTTGGCATTACATCATACACATTATACTTTTAAAAAGGTTGCTGCTCATATCTGAATACATTTATAAAACAATAATACCCATTAGGATACAAATGTTTCTTCATTCGTTCTTGATTAACTATTTTTTTCAAATGATCAAATGTTATTAATCAGTAAATTGAATTGAAAATGTACATCTATGAAATGTGTAATTTTTTTCCTGCATAGATGTTTATCTCGATTATTGAAATTCATTATATAAATATTAATTGAGTTGATTAGTTTACAAGTTACATTTTCAGTTTAACTAATCTTTATGAATTAGTTTCATTCTGAAAAATAGATAGATCACTGAAATAAGACTAATTTATCAGTGTTGTATCTTGAACTAATTACTGATTACTATAATTGGTACAACAGTTCATAATAACTGCAGAATAACTGTTGTGGTGCGTGCTACTTATATTGATATAAGTAGTATATAATGCGAGTCAGGAATGTAATGTCTGGGGCGGGAAGATCGAGAAAGGGAGAGCGGGAATAGAAAGCAATAAGTATGGAAATGCAAGAAGAATGAAGTTTGAGACAATTATTGAACATTTTGCGAATTAAGTATTATAGTATGTTTTTTCTACTTTACCGATCAACTCTGTAATTTTGTGCTAAATATAATTCGGTTGTCCTCACATGTGTTCACCTTCACTACACTGTTACCTTTTGCTAATCATAATGGAACAAGACTATTATACTGATACAAGAAAGTAAACATGATTGTTGTAGTATGTATATTTATATACTAAGGGCTAAATGAATAACATTCCCTTATATTTATTTCTTTTTTTAGGAAAAATAATCGATTAATCAATAAATTTGAGTGAATTAAACTAGGAGTTAATCAATAATCTAATATGTTTTTATAACTCGAAAAATCAATAAATTAACTGACTAGACTGAAGAATATAATTCATCACAGAATTACTGATTTATTTAGTTGTTAACAAAAACCCCAATTACATTATTTTCACTTGATGATATGTTAGACTTGATTTTACAATTGAATTACATTTGATTTATGTTATAGTGAATGTTCTCGTGGATACATTGAGCCAAGTGATTAAAAATTGTTAATTTAGATATTGTGTGTTCAAGATTGTATAATAAGTTAGAAGCAAACGTGGATAACTTTTAGTGAGTAATTGTAATTATTTACTTGATTAATGTCACAATCCATAGATTAATTAACAACCTATCGGTATACATAAGGTGTGTTATTCATCTAGCGGATATAGCTTTGGATACAATCTTTGTTTTCTGGATAGTTTGATTCCACAAGTATTAGCTTAGCTGTTAGTATCAGTCATATTGAAAATTATATTTATTAGACAAACATTTATGTGCTTTTTTTGTTTAGATCGAAAACTTACAAATGAACTTTCAAGTTATATTCGTTCATCAGTAGTTGGTAATCGACCAATTCGTATCGGTGAACAGATTATTAAATCAATAGAGAAATATCTAAATGCTATTGAAGGGAATCAAAATCGTTGGCAATCAGAAATTGAAGTTGTAGCATACACTTTAAAGTGTATATCTGGTTATTTTCAAGAAAAATACTTTGAAACAACCACTAAACAATTGACAGATGATATAAACCATCTAACTGATAACAAAGATAAGATGAAACTTGATTTACAACTTCAACTTCGACGTTCCAAATCTGCTGAAATAAACATAGATCAGCTTCAAGATTGTAAAGTATGTTATTTTGATTTGTTTTTATGTGAATTGTTTATATAAAATTGATACACAATTATGTGTTTATTCATCTCGTAAAGTATATTTGTAACATAAACTTCATCTTCGTTATGTCACATACAGTTCATGATAAGTTATTTTAAGCTTTTAGTTAATCTTTTGAATTTAAAGGGAAATTTACTGTTGTTGATGTGCTGCAACACAGTGACATTTCAGTATCCATAAACACTTTCACATAGTTGTCGATTGCACCTTTAAGTATTATTTATTTTGAAATACAGCAAATTTAACATCATTAATAATAAGGAAATTACTATTCGTCTATAGCGTACAGATTATGTAAATTGTTATGTCAGTTTACGTTATGTGCATGATAGATATTGCTAGGATGTGCTGTTTTAGCTAGTGTAGAAGTAGGTTGGAAGAAATCTAAAGGTGACCAAACCAAAATTTGGTATCAGTTTATGGAGTTAATGACTCTAAGTTACCTTTATTGTATCAGTTATGCGTTTTTATAATTCGAAAAACATTTTCATATTCAGTATTTATTTGATAAGATTCTTCTGTTATTCGGAATGGTCAAAAACTGTGGTATGATATAACTTATTTAATGCCATGCTTATGTCATTTAAGGCTTTTTTACTCTCTTTCCTAGATATTTTCAAATGAAGACTTGTTTATCATATCTTAAATATAACTCAGTTTAATAATTTGGTTCATGCAGAAACGTTTATACTTCATTGAGATACTTTGAAAATAAGAACACAAATTATGAAAATCTTGAATGGTACTTGGTATAATACAGTGAATAAACTTGAAACAAATTAATGAAGCATTGTATAGCTACCTAAATAAAACAAATTACACATGAATACTCACTGCATAACTAGTTATATACTAAGATAAAAAAGCTATCCATATTTGCTAGGTTTTTATTGATTGTCTAAATCAGATTACTAGTATGCTGACTCAGTGGTCCAGTAGGTCAAGCGTTCGCACGCGAGACCGAAGGCCTTGGGTTCGAATCCCGCGAGCGAGATCGTGGATGCGCACTGCTGAGGAGTCCCAATATAGGGCGAAACGGCCGTCCAGTGCTTCAAGGTTTCCAAAGGTGGTCTAACATCAATCGGTTCGTGATCTCAATCAAAAACTTAAATTAGATTACTTCCTGATTTTCATAAAATCCAACAATCTTCACAACCCCATACTGATAATTTTATATTATTGAAGTGCTGGTAGATTTCTGAACTATTAATATTGTTTATTGGTTGTCGGATTTTCTATTCGATTTATTAAGATTATTTTTTTGTTTGTGTTATATATGATTTATATAATCCCACTTAAAATGATTGTTTTATGGTTATTTTCTTAACCGTTTTGTTTTGCCTATCTTCGTTTAACCGTAGAATAGTTTAGAGGATGAAATGAAGTGTTTACGCCAAGAACGTAATGATTTGGTTTCATTGCTGGATCATTTTGAACAACAACTTCATAATGTATGTTTACTGGCTAATACTCCTTTATACTGAAAAAAGAGATGAAATATTTTTAGGACCATACTTTAATTTAGTTTTGATGGATGGTTGCTTATTTTTGTTCACAAAAATTATTTCTTGATGTTCATTAGATGTAGCACATCTTTGATTAGATAATTGATTTAAGATAAAACAAAAAGAAATTTGAGTGCCTCTTCCAGTGAATAGTAAGCTTAGGTGAAGATATTCATTACGGTCTAAATTCATGGCTTATTTTAGAAGAAAATGTATTAAGTAATCAAAACTTCAGTGCTGAATATCCATAATACAGTAATGTGAACCCGTGCGACACATGCCAGTGGCTATATGAATTGAGTACCTTGGTGGATAAAGCATTGAGGTTTGTAGGTAAAGATTCTGAGTCCGATTTCCATTGTGAATGTTAACATTGGAACGCATTTACACCCATTTGAGAAGTTCGAAATAAGATTAAATGTACATCCTAGGTTCCACTGCTTGCCATAGTTAATCTCTTTTCGATATCTGTTTCGAGTTCGTTATTCTTTGTTTGGTGAGGATAAAATATTTCTGTAATAAAAGATGGTACACTCAGTCATACTTCTTTAAGCTAAAAGTTTTTGTGATTAAAGTTTAACCAACAACATACATATTCGTATTCAGAGTACTTAAGTGTTTGTACTGGTCATTCGTTTCTCATGGTAAAATTTCTTGGTGTCCAAATATAAAATTCGTGAAGACAATTTATTTTAGATTTATTTAGTAGTTATGTTTCCTGTGATATAAGCAATTTTAAAACTTCCAGCGACGCTTCATGATCCCAGTTGTACTTTTATTTATTGTAATAAATTCTACTATTGTGTTTGCTTTAGCTTCGTATTTTTCTTATTACCTTGTTCATTGTATTATGCAATTATTAAGTGGTAGTTTTATAGAAGTTACGGATTGCTATATTGCAGTAATAAACTATCAGAGTATGCATCAGTGATGACTTAGAGAAACCAAAATATCACGGTAACACTATAAACGGTCGAATCTTGGTATCGATGGAATGACAACTCCGTATTAGCATTTGAATCTAGAGCTTGATCTCAGGTGGTTGCTGGTTTCCAACAATTGCTGACATTATCACGCACTCAAAAGAATCATATTTTAAAAACCTATGTATTAATACTGATTCTAAAAAATTTAATATTCACCGGTAACGCCACGTATTTCAGTGTCAAGGAATTATGTCAACATTTTGAGTGGACGCCAATATTTCTTAAGGTCTTCAAACTACACTTTTTCAAATATTGTAAAAGGAAAGTGAATCCACAAAAAAACCCCTTCAACAACCAGTGTATAAAATAAATGAAACAGCAATCAAAAAGATATTCGTTCGAATGTAGGTATGTGTTTTGTTTGATTATAGGAGAATTCAGCAATATGTAGCATATGAAATTCTAAGCTTTGAAAACATAATAATAAATACACATTTGCATCATCTGATTGTTATTCGATATTCTTCCAAAAACGTATTAGTGATTTTAGCAAGTTCAATCACTTCTTTTTATGTTGCTATAACTTCAATGATTATTATGTATTGTTGATTTGTTCTTTTTCATAACTGAATTTGTTGATGTAAGCCAATATAATTTCTACTATAAAATAACAATGTTTATTTGATTTTTAACTTCTAGATAAAAGGAAATGTACGAATTCTTACTCATGAACGTGATGTACTTATGCACGAATTATTATTACAGGTAAATGTGACAGATCTTAACTTCATAACTCCAATTTTCACTAAAAATATCATTTTATTTCTGTATTGAAATTGTTTACTTATACTAAACACAGTTATAGTATAATGAATCCACTATTATTTCATACAAATATTGACGACATATTCATGTCTTTTTGCAGGATAACTAGTGTATATGTGTACGTGTAGATTAGAGAGGGGGTAGGGAACTACCTAGCCTGTTGTATTCTCTGATGGTGTTCTTGTGATTTTCGAGTTGCCTGATCTACCAAAAACAATCAGATAGTACATAACTTTGTGGTTGTGTGTTAAGTTCAAATAAAGTTGTATGCTATATGTTTACACTCTTCCACTTTATTGTTATGTATGTATGTTTAAATGAATTTTGTTGTTGTAATTAGTGCTAACAGAAAACAATACTGTGATTTACAACGTATATTCATTAAAATAACAATTTATAACTAGTTTTAGTAGGTTGTTGATTTTATAAAATAGACTGGTGACAATGTAAGTTTAAGTTATGCTAGTAATATATAAAGCCCTAATAAAAGAAACATGTAGGCTATTTCAGTACTCATTACACCAAAAGAAACTTTATTCCGTTCTTGTTAACAGTTGTAGTACAGTATGTTTTAGTTTATTCAAAGATATTTGACTGCATAGTTAAAATGCTGTTAAATTAAGTTGCTAATTAAATTCAGTACTACATAAAGAGTATATACATGAATCGATGAAGGGGTGACTGTATGAATATTAAAATTCATTCAGTATTGTAACATCTATTGTAACATTTACAGATAAAATTCTAAAGTAATTGGCATGGCTAAACAAATAACTTTCTTGCACCACTGAACTCCATAACTTGGCCGAATAATTATTAAGAAACAAAACCACTGATCTTTAATTGAATTTATTTTCTAGAAATTAAAATGAATATTATATACATCTAAAACATATTCATTGAATCTAGTACACAACCATATCGTCTGTTCTAGAATAATGATAAGTACTATCTTGAGAGTCTTATCTAAATAGCCTTAATGCTGTTCAGCGATATATAAAATTCATGTAATAATCTATTTTCTGTCATCAAAAAACTTTACATGAATGCAGTATCTCAGTTAGAATCATGTTCTAAGTTAAGTTACTTCTATTAATTAAACTATGCAACCAGGTAATTTAGTTCGAAATTGTAAATTGATTTATTTTTGTTAGTTTTTTCTTTTCTTTTTTTCGCTTAAATTTTCAGTCAGAACAAATAAATAAAATCAGCTGTCATCAATTGCCATCTAATCAACATACTATCGATTATTCACAATCATCTGTTCAAACTATGAATCAAGCAATAGATACTGAATTTGGCGATGAAACTGTTCAGAACTTACAAATTATAACCACAGAAAGAGATTCACTACGTGAAAGATTACACAATTTAACTAATGAAAACAATCATCTCATTCAATGTTTAGAAAATATTAAAAATGAATTAAATGAAGTTAAACAAAATAAAGTTTCACTAGAACAACGTATTGCAGAACTTATAAAATCTATTGTTGATAAAGAAAATGAATGTGATAGATTAGTAAGTAGAAATTATATATAAAGAATGTTTTTATTCACTTTTCATGCTTAACTTAGTAAATTAAGCTCTTATGTAATAAACAATCACTTGAAATAATTTTATTATTATAATAACAAAAGGGTTTATTTTAATTATCCATCTGTCTGAAATTCGCCTACGTAATTAACCTGTTTTTTCGCTGTTTGAGTGCTACTTATACAGTGATTCACCGTAGCAAAGGAAAGTTGATTATTGTTGGTTAAGAATTTAAAAGATTTAATAGATAGGAGTTGAGATAGTATTTCACATGTTTATTTTTTATACATTTACTAATGCATCTATTACCTAGAAATGTCCGGTATTTTAGAAAATTATTGCCCCCAAATGCCCTGGTATGACCGAGAGTGAGGTGGGCCCACCCTCCTTCTCGAAATGCTCTCACACGGCTACGCGTATACAGCCTCTGTCAGGGAAGTCCTACCCACTGCCTTCTCGCACCACGGGTGTTGTTTAAGAAAGTGAGAGGACGAAAAGCGAATGTCCGGGGCTTTAACCGGATTCCAAACAAATGGTGCACATGAGCTCCAGTATCCTGCAGGAACAAATTGCGTATGAACCAATCGTTGGTCACCGGCTACCATGGTACTGCATCTCCTCACGATGCTCCATTGCCTTGTGGATTAGACCTTTAGTTCGAAGTCTCGGGGTGTGGCCCCCTAAGAAAACCCCCTGCTTCGGTTTGAGCACCGGGCAGTATTCCAGCCCTCACACAAATCGGATGATTTATGTGGCGCATATATATTTGGTGCCTCCTTGTACCAATGTTTATGTGCCTAAATAAATAAATAAATATATTTTGTTTTAAAATCATATTGATATGGCAAAACGTTGTAATAGGAAATTGTACTAATCATTGTCAGTCGAAAACTAACTCTTTTAGTTAATCGTACTCATTTTCAAGCTTTATCCCTTTAAGGCATAAAAGAAAAATATTTAAGTGCTTAGTTACCAGACCTAAATTTTTCTGTTCTGAAGACGTTTTCGAAGAGGAACTTAAAATCATTCATGTACTATTAAGGGGAAGTGGCTTTATATTGAATTTCATACCAAAATGAAATTGTCAACAACGGTAAAGAGGCCTTCGTTCCTGTAATTATAGTTCAAAAATGATAGCTAGTGAATCACTGATAACTCGTTCTAGCCCCTTTAGCTGATAAAGATCATCATAATAATACAAATGTACCATTCAAAGCCATATGTTGAATCTTATCCAACTTGGCTGATACTTCCAGATCTCAGGTTTTTAATTATCACTACAAATCACCAACGGATTTATACACAAGACTTTACGCTGCTTAGTTTTTACTTTTATACAGTCATTGGGAACACTCATTTGATTCTTAAACTAAACCTTACCTGCACATACTTCCTTTAAATCTTAATTTTATGTAATCAATTTTAATAATCAGCCGATTGTTTTACATTTGGTTTTACCATTTTTAAGGTAGTTTATCCCTCGTCATTTAATTGATATTGATTATCATATTAATATGTAAAGCTATGAATTAGCAGTGCCAAGCCATGATAAGAAGCTAATTGAAATGAAATTTTTCGTCAAAGAAACTATGTTTTATATACTAGACTGTTAAAGAAACGTTTTAATCAATTAATTTTGTTGTTGTTATTGAACAAATTCACTAGACTGTATACGACGTAAAACTGTTTAGTTTTTGATTGAGATCATGAACTGATTGATTTTAGACAACCCTCAAAAACCTGGAAGCGCTAGACGGCCGTTTCTCCCTATTGTGAGGCTCTTCAGCAGTGCGCGCCTAAATCACGCCACGGGATTCAAACACAGGGCCTTCAGTCTCACGCGCAAACTCTTAACCTACTGGACCACTGAGCTGGCATCCAGTGGTGCTAGTGTCTAACATCAACCAATCCATGAAGTCGCGCGACCATCTTCCATTGTACTGAGGTAGATACCTGTCTTTTCCCGATACGGATTCGCTCCACTGGTCACGGTTCCTCACTAGAACTCCGAGAATTCCCTAACGAAGCTAGACACTAGTGAGCACATTATCAGTATAGGGGTTTTGGAGATCCAGTAGGTTAAGCGTTCGCGCGTGAGACTAAAGGCCCTGGGTTTGAATCCCGCGAGCGTGATCGTGGATGCGCACTGCTGATGAGTCCCACAATATGACGGAACGGCCGTCCAGCGCTTCTAGGTTTCCAAAGGTGGTCTAACATCAATCGGTTCGTGATCTCAATCAAAAACTTAATAATCTCCATAACCCCTATACTGAAACTATCTAGTCTGTTTTAAGAAGTAATCTGGAAATATGCAATGTAAATAGCATAATTATTATTCTTATCCCTAATGTTAAAAATTATTTTATTAACAGGGGGATGAGGTAAGGTTTAAGTGTTTGCTTTAATTATACTTCCAAAAACATTGTTAAAACATATTCTGAACAATTGTTAAGTATCAAGTACTTAAATCGTGCAACATTCGAAACATTATTAGGTAATAAATGTTAAGACTAAAAGAATTAATCAAAGAAAGAATTACAATTAACTGTACTTACAAATAAATAACATGAGTTTGGTACTATGAATTTAATCAACTTAATAACCTATTCATTGGAACGAATAGTTTCACAGTATTTGGGCTTGTTGTTGATATGAGATAATAAGGAAAAAGAATGTATCTGTAAAATCTCAGCGAATGGAATTCGAATTAAATTCAACATTTCACCTGGCAATTTGGTTTAAGATTTTTCAAGGAAATATATTCACACATCAAGATTATCGATTTTACAAATACGTTCTTCCTCCTCAATTAAATCCATTCATTTGTTTTGCTAGTTTTTTGCAATATGTGGAAGCACTGGACAACCGCCTCATCTTAGTATAAGACGCCTCAGCAGTGCGTGTCCACGATCCTTCTTGCGGGACTGGAACCCAGACCCTATCGATCTCGCACCCAAACGCTTAACCTCTGGACTACTGAGCAGGCGTCCGATGTTTGCAATGTGTAAGCGAATGAAAATATTGTCTTTCCTTTTTGATTAGTGAAAACACTTAAATTATGTACACAATTTATTTTTATGTATTTTGTTTTTTTTGTGTATATGTGAATTAGATTGAAAAAGTCAACTGTCTTGAAAAGCATCATTCTAACACTGATCAAGTTTTATTTATTAAAAATAATTTACAAGCTGTTCAAGCACAGTTAGAAAAAGTTCAGAAAGATTATGAGGTCAGTAAATCTGTTTTTCATATAAATATATCTTATTACCAATTTTACTGAAGGTTTTGTAAAGATTATGAAATTTTTACGGTTTTGTAAATCAAGAACTGACTTTAAGTAGACTACCATTAAAAAACTAGGAGGGACTGGACATCCGTTTCTTCATCGTATGGCACTCCATAGCAATGCGCATTCATGATCTTGCTACAGGGTGTCCTACTTAGGATCTTTGGTCTTGAACGTGAACGCTTAACCTCTAGATTATCTACCCGGCATTTAACAGTTATTGTCCGATTTCATTTAATTCATGATGTTGGCGTGGCCATCATCCGTTGTTTGTGACTGATAACTGTTTTACACCCGAAACGGTTGAACTTCACTTGTCGAAGCAGTAAAAAGTAGCTGTCCAGTTCATCCCAGTTCTCAGTAGTGGTCTGATCGAGGTCAACTCTTGATCCAAAAACTCTGAACATATTACGTGTTCAATTTTAATAAGTCATTTTCTTCATGAATTATGTGCTAGAATTTTGTTAGAAATATTAATTACCTTTATAATATGGATTAAATTTGGAAAATGTAACGCTGAAATTTCTATAATAAGAGGTAAAAACACAAACTGGTTAGTAGTATAATGTAGTGGTCTTTTATTTTTCACGACAATAATAAGCTTGAAGGACGACAATAATCTGACACATTTCTTAGTGAGTTTAAGTAGCTACGTTGTATGAAAGAAATCTAGAGAGTATAATGAATTGTTGAAAAAAACAGTAAAGTGAAGTTGATAAACTTGGTAGCAGTAGGTATGAAACACAATAAGAATATATATCAGGAAGATTTAACCCATTTTTAGTTATGCTACTTTAAATCACTAACAACAAATTAATATCATCACATAAACTGAAATAGCCTACAGTCCACTATATGACTCAATACATCAGTCAAAGATTTTGTAATTGAATTTCACTTCTCAATCTGAACACCTTGATCATAATTACAATAATTCTACAGTTTTATTACTTCAGATAACTTGAAATTCGTTAGAACCAGCGGATCTTTTTTCAGTCCAAAACGTTTTCTAGTCGCAGGTTCCACTTTGTTCACTGAGTGTCCCTATTATCTGTAGGGGATACTTTGATGGTGGCGGTAATCACTCGGATATTGTACTCTAAAAATTAGTGTCTCACATTTGCACTCTGTAACACGATCCAGTCGCTCTATTCATCTATCTAAGTTCTCGATCACTGCATTACTTACTTACTTACTAATGTTCCCCTTCATGGAGAAGCATAGGCCTCTCACTAACATTCTCCATTCGACTCTGCCCTGGAGAATCCTTTCCACTTCTTTCCAGTTCCTATTCATCCTATCCATGTCTGCTTCAGATTTTCGACGCAGTGTGTTGTTGGGCCTTCTTTGCCAGTTCCCTTCAGGATCTCGAGTTAGGGCTGGCTTCCTGATGCACTTTGGTTTTTTCCACAATGTGTGTCCTATCCTTTTCCAATGTTGTTTCTTAATTTCCTCCCGAGCTGGGAGTTGGTCTGTTCTCTCCCATAGTAGTTTGTTGCTGATGGTATGTAGTAAACGGGTATTGACTATCTTATTTGGACAACTGTTTATAAATACTTGTATTTTTTAATGATGATTATAGTAGTTCTCCAAGTTTCAGCTCCTATCACTGCATGTTTGCTACTAATTGTCAACTCCATATATTTACAACAGTTTTAATTTTCACGTTTCTGGACAACAAAAAGTCAATTATAAAACAATGAGATGCTTAAATGATCGAATAAACGGACAACAATCTAGGGAGTTTTCAAACATCACAGCAGTTACCTAAAATAAATGTTACTTCAAATTGAGGCATTTTGAATCAGTGATTGTAACGCTTCTTCAAACTTGTCTTGTAACGGTCTATTTTATTTACAGTGAAGATTATGGTTTTATTTGCCTTTTTATTTTGGGTTGAAATACATACTGCTATGTTGCACTGTTTGTCAGTCATCAAGGTACCACTTCCAGTTGACGAGTACACATAAAATTACACGAGGACTGTAGGTTAGAACTGATAACAAATTTTCTGACCAAATACATTTTGAAAGAATTTAAAGTTTTTTTTAAAATTTCTTTTCTTTTTATTCTAAAGAAATCTCGCAATGAATACACTAGTTTACATGTTACACTTCGTCAAATTGATCAAGAAAAAGATCATCTTCAAATTTGTTTAGATGAACGTACTGAACGATGTTTAACTTTAGAACGTCAATTAATCACCAATGAAACAAGTATAAAAGACTTAAAAGTGAGTAATATATATTGTTCAATTTCTATTTAACTATAATTAAAACATATTCAATTATTTTTTAATTTAATTTTCTCATTAATATAAATTATATTGAGTATTATATTTTATATTTAGATTAATAATGAAACTTTAGAAAAACGAATATTACGACTTACACAATCGGTTGTTGAACGTGAATCAGAAAATCGTGAACTTGTTGAACGTTTATCTAAATCAGAATGTGACCTAAATTCGACTGTTAAAAATCATGAATTATTAACAAAAGAATTAGAGAAAACCAAGGTAACTAATTTTAGTTATATTTATTGCTTTATCAATAATATTAACTGTATGACCAATATAATGACCCACATCTGCTTTACTGACATAATAGTTTTTCTGACCAGATTTTGTATCTATTTCTTCATTATAATAATAATAATAATAATAATAATAATAATAATAATAATAAAATAAATTTTGTTTACAATTTATTCCAAGTATTAGATACCATATTTGAGTTTCTTATTTTACTCTGAATTCTTTAGAATTGTTGCTAACTTGTTTGATGGATAACAGATATGATGGCTTTATTTATATTTATAACAATCTGGTTGTGTAGATTAATGATTAAGAAAATTATTTATTTGTCAGTTTTTTAAACCTTTTAATGGATATATGGCGTCGGATAAGACGATCGTGATGAATTAACTCACCTAGTAAAATATGCAGGAATCCCACCTTTTCATAAAAGAAAGAAGGCATTAGAGAACATTAATCTTACCACCTGAATTTCTTTTACCGGAGATAAAGTTCTTAAAGTACAGAGCTAATACATTGTTAAATACTTCAAGAAAGTTCATATGTGACCTCTCTCAGGCATTTGTCCTATTGAGAACTATAATCACTCATGTTGTTAAGGCCACTTCTAATGTTCTTTTTCAAGACCCTACAGTATATACAACTGGAAAGAAAAAACCTTTCTCAAAGTTTTAACAATGATCAAGAACTGAAGTCGATTTTTCCAATAATAGACTGCTTTTTTTTTATCACAAATTGACTGGAACCTAAAGTATACATTACTTCATCTTTTTTCAATGTTAAGCAAAAAATAAAGTTAGCTGATTTTTTTTTCAATTAAAACGAAATTCATAATGAATACATTTGATTGATTCCAGTCCAATGATCATTTTCATAATAATATCGTATTTCTACTATTATTCAATGTTTAGAATGAAGTAAATATGTTGATAAGTGAAAAACAGAGGTTACAAAGTGAATTAAATGTTTCTTATGATAAACAAAGTGAGCTGGATAGACGTGTGGTTGATTATAATAAGGAACTTACAAATCTACGTGATACATGCACGTTGAAAGAACAAGAAAGAATAGATTTATTAAAAGAATACAGGTTAGTTTATTAGTCATCTGTTTATTAGATTGTTATATCTTTAGCAAGAAATTGCGGCGAGACTATAATTTATGAATGAACCAATCAAATTTAAAATAGTAATTCGTGGATATTGGCGCAAAATTCCTTCGTTCATTTGGCCAAGTAGCGTTTTGACATTTTACCTCATGTCAGTTCGTGATAAAAGCACTAAATCTAATTCCTAACCCTAACCATCAACCATAAATCATAATTGTAATTCCTCACACTAGTTTACAACCCTCATTTAGTCTTAGTTAATAGAAGGACATTCTCAATGTCACTTTAGCGTCTCTGAAATGGTGTCCATGAATTATGGTCTCATCGAAATCGAATTGAGTGAAAGAACAGAGACTACCGAACTCTTCTGTTAAATACCTGCTCAATATTTTACCTAACTGAAAGATCTACTGTACATAATGCGCTTGGTGAAATATAGTTCTACTTGATACTGTCTTTACACTACAGTTACCGACACCTGTGCTTCTGTTTAATAGTGATATTATTGATTCAGGACTACCTTACATTTGTCTAAGGTCAGACTATGATGCAAACCATGAGATTTACCAATCTCGAAAACCCTCCTATATAGTATTTATGATTATGTCCTGATAGGGTTTAATGTCAGGGATGGCTCCAAGATTTCTGGTGGGAGAAGCTTTAATCAGTGGAGTTCAGTCATACTGAGTGTGAAGCAGTTACCGACCGATCCCATTGGAAAGTGGTTGGTCAATATCGCGAATTCATTGAAATTAGGTAGGTAAACCAATGAATGCCACCTTAGTGGTTTGGAGGTTAAACGCGAATTCCAAGAACTGAAGTTCTTGGGTTTGATCATTTTTGGGGGTGATGAATGCGGGCTGATTCGAACAATCATACTAGGACGAAACAGTTATCCAGTGCTTCTTAATTTCAATGATTAGCCAACTAACTAACCAATAAACTTGAATGTAATAGGTTGTTTTTTATAACTGTCTTATCATCAGTTAATCCACTAAATGTTCAGAAAACAAGTTCTAGTTTTTATGTTAAATACAATGTCATCTATTGTGTAAATCAGCATATAATATGATCAGAATACTTGTTTAAGAGGAAAAGATTTTTAAGAATTAGGCTAGTGAATAAAATATAACAAATACAAATGCCCATCATCACTACTTGAAGTTGCTAACATTTATTCTGAGCAGCAGAAGAATAATAGTAGACATTTTCATTGTGGTTTTAATGATCAAATAATAAAATAATTCAAAAGTCTTGTCGATCGAACGCTATATATTCGCTTTCCTAAGCATTTCTGGTAACTCGCAGTCTGGAATTGCACAGTGACTTGAACACCAGGGAGAACACACAGTATGAGGGAAAATACTTTATCCCAAGGCTCGTTTTCGTACACAAAATCATGGATATTTATAGATGTTGGCGTCTGGTAAATCAACATCATTTTTCAGCCAATCGGTTAACGACATATTATGCTACCGATCACTAGTAGCACGCCACGTTGGAATTCTAGAATGTTCCATCATACTGTGATTGGCCAGAACTCTGCGGCTCCTCTTGAGCCTCTGGAGGCTCCGTTGAAGTTTTCCGGAAGCCGACTCAACACCTTCCCTGAATAAGATTTCTTTCTGGGATCTACTTGTAGTTTGACAACTGGGTTGCTACGGCGTCCCATTATTCTTGTCGTCTTCCTTGTCTAAGGCTTCTTTTCAGTGTTCCTGGGCATTTGTGGCATTGGTGCATCTAAGACTAAATCTAACGAAAAGTTCAGCCGGTCGCTTCGAGTCTGCACCGTTCTTTTGTCCTTAAGGATTTGATTTGTGTGTCGTATACATGTCCCAAAAGCCCCTCGACCTCTGTACAGAACTCTTCCCAGTTTTTGCACAACTTCTCCCGGCTCCCATCGGTTCTTCCCGATGTAGGATTTAATGTAAACTTTGTCGCCAACATTGAAGTTCCGGATACTTGGATCGCTCATTCACTAATTTGGATGGCAACATGGCATCGAAGACGGTTCGAATACGCCTTCCGAACATGACTTCCGCAGGAGACTTGCCGTCTGGAACATTCGGGTTTGGGGTGGATCTGTAGGATGTTAAATATTTTGTGGTTACCTGCCCTGTCGTCCCTTCGCCTCCCCCTTTCAGTAGTGCTCTTTTCAATGTATCCACGAAGCGCTCTGCCTGGCCATTTGATTGAGGGTGATACGGTGGAGATCGTATGTGCACAATCCCATTAACGTTGCAGAAGTGCTTGAATGATTCTGCAGTGAATTGTGAGCCGTTATCGGTCACTAAAGTCTCCGGAACTCCAAAGCAGCTAAACAGGTCGGATAACTTGCTGATTGTTTCACTGGTTGTGCAATTCACCATGGCGTAGATTTGTGGCCATTTTGTGAGCGCGTCTACTATGACTAAATACATTCTTCCTCATATTGGACCGGCGAAATCTGCATGCAGCCTCTCCCAGGGACTATTCGGCTTTTCTCATTGTTGCGGTTCACATTTGCTTGGACTTTTGGCTGCTTGTAGGCACGATGAACAATTGCGGCATCTGGTTTCGATATCTTGATCCATCGTAGGCCAGTATGCGTAGCTTCGAGCCAGCGCTCCCATCTTATTGATACCAGGATGACCGCTGTGGAATTGTCTCACAACCTTGTAGCGTAATACTTTTGGAACAATAATTCTGTCACCAAACATAATACATAAGTCGACCATCATGAGAGAGTCCCGTCGGCGAAAATATTGCAGCATTTCTCCTTGAAAACGACGGTCCGGCCACTTGGTGAGAGGATAACTACTTACTTCTCTTAAAGTCTTGTCACTTTCCGTGGCTTCTTTGATGGCCTTGAAAGTAACTGGTAAACCATCGACTGCGTCTTCCAATACTCGATGTATTTCTGTTTCGGTCTCGATTGCTGCCACCAAAGTGTCTTCTTCCTGTTTTACTTGTGAGCCAATCAGTCTAGATAAAGCGTCAGCTTGTCCAAAATAAGTAGTGGGCTGGTACTTGATCTTGAAGTCATAACCCAAGAGTGTAGTTCCCCAACGTTGCAGTCTATTTGCCGTGTATACAGGTATACCTTTCTTTGACCTAAAGACTGCAAGTAGTGGCTTATGGTCTGTTATTAGGGTAAAATGTCGACCATATATCATCTTATGGAACTTTTTCACTGCAAAGATGATTGATAGGGCTTCTTTCTCAATCTGACTATAGTTCCTTTCGGTCGTTGTCAAAGATCTGGCAGCGTGTGAGATGGCTTTTTCAGACCGACCCATCAGGAAAAATGTGAGAGATAACTGCGCCCACACCATAGTTAGAAGCATCTGAAGCGACGACTATCGGTAGCGAAGGATCATAACGTGTCAATAGGAGATTGTAAGTCAGGAGTTGCTCGATTTTCTCGAAAGACGCTTGGCATTCTGCAGACCAATTCCATCTTGTATTCTTTTGTAGTAGGTTGTTTAGTGGAGCACGTAGACGATGGAGATCGGGGAGGAAGGTACCATAGTAGCTGACCAATCCCAAGAATAATCGTAGGGTAGTAATGTACCTGGGTCTAGGCGTTGTTTTCACTGCTTCAATGTTCTCTGGATCTGGTCGTCTTCCGTCTTTATCTATTATGAACCCAAGGTACCGAACTTGCTGCATATAGAAGTCACACTTTTCCGTTCGGAGGCGAAAACCATAATCGGCTATGCGTTCTAGTACCTGGTCCAGTTTCCTCTGAAGGCTCATTTTATCTACTGCCATAATTATGATGTCGTCTATGTAAGCTGCTGCCCCTGGAATACCTTGTAACATGGTATCCATAATTTGCTGGAAAATAGAGGGCGCTGTCTTCACCCCAAAAGGTAATCGGTTATACCGGAACAGACCTTTGTGTGTTGATCGTTAAGAGATCTTTGCTTCCATCAGATACAGGGATTTGTAGGTATGCGTCTGATAAGTCCGATTTCGCAAAATATCTGCCACCGTTCAGCTTAGCGAAAAGATCTTCCGGTAAGGGCAACGGATACTGGTGGGACTCTAGAGCTTCATTTAATCCAGTGGAGTAGTCTGCACATAGACGGACACTTCCATTCGACTTCTTGACCACCACTATTGGTGCAGCCCAATTCGAGAAGTCTACAGGCTCTATAACACCCATTTGCTGAAGTCGTTGTAATTCTTGTTCAACTATTGGAAGAGCAGCATATGGTGCAGGTCTTTTAGGTCGAAAAACGGGAGTAGCTGCAGGTTTTAGGGTTAAAACTGCTTCGGCTTTCGTACATTCCCCCAATCCTTCTTTACACACGTTTTGGTGTCTTTGTAGCATGGCATTTTTCTGGCTCCACTCTGAGGTGTTGTCAGTACTGACTCGTCTGCAGATACTGTTAATAGAATGGTCTGCTAGTTTAAGTGTTTCTATAAGATCTAACCCCATTAAGTCGAGTGCTGGCTTCTCTGTAAGGTATACTGTTGCATTTGTTGTTACAGTACCTTTAGAAACAGTGCATGGCACTTCTCCAACAATATTTAACTTCCCCCCAGATGCACTGTGTGCCAGTCGTGTTGTTGGGAACACTGTGGGTCTTCCAATGTTCTTCCATGTTTCTGGGCTGATTAGAGTAATATCAGAAGCTGTGTCAAGCTGAAGGCGAGTACGGTGTTTATTAATATTCAAGGTTACGTACTTTCTTTGACGGCAACTTCGTGCTTTGTTATGTGATACCAATATTTTGTTGGTTGGAGCACTATATCTATATTTCTTTGAGTAAGGCTTCAAGGAATGTTGTTTGTAGTTTCTTCCCCTGCAGAGGTTTTCTTTATGCCCCTTCAGATGGCACTTACTACAACAATGTTCTTTGTACGGGCAGAACCTCTTATAGTGCCAACCTCCACATGCCCAGCATGGAGATGATGGTTTGTCGCTGTTATTACGATAATTATGTGTGCTGGGACCTTGAAAAACTTTTTTCTTGACTGCATTGGCGTTATGG